TTGCCCGTAACTTGACGAGCTGAGACCCATGTTAAGAACTTAATCTGGTTTGGTTCAAATACTGGTAAAGGGCAGAATCACATTGCTAAAACCATATTTAGGGTTAATACCTGTTGTGCTTATTTAAACTTCACCCAGGAGCTGTACCCTTATGCTTAACTTACTCGATTGTTGCCATAACTAATCCTGAAGACCTCTATCTGCTTTTTGACAACGTGGGGTGTGATATGTGTTGTCTTTATGCAATCTATCTTGCATAACCTGATTGTTCCATTACATAAACCAACCTTTCTTCACACTCCTTCAACAGACTTTGAATAGTCAATTCTGTCTTGGAACAGGGGCCATCCACTTCATGTAGGGGAAGTAAGCAGTCCTAGATAACAAGAACTCCAGATGACTATTGAGTTGTTTGTACATTAATTGAAGCAACCTTGATGCAAAATTAGAGTGTTTTGGGTCTCACCCTGCAGCAACATGGTCCAGCAAATGAGCTGAGCAGACCTCTTTTTAGGCTGGCTGCTTCTGTTTTCTGTGGAAGAGCAGCTTGATTCTCTCACTATTCTTCACTTAGGACAGCCTATAAACCCACAGCAGAAACATTAATGAAGAGCTATTTATTACAGCAGTGGCAAGCCAGCCTCTTATAACCTACACTTGATTGCGTTCTTGCTTATGTGTTTCTCCTGCAATCCTAGTGAGATGGCAGTCTTGGAAATGCCAAAATCTGACTGACAACCTCTGTTATTTTCTCTGAGTGGTATTCCGGGTATATAGTTTGTAGAATAATCCCAGCAGAGGGTTGTAGATTAAACTTTTCTGGCTTTAGGTTGCAAGTGTCTTAATCTTGACTATTCATTTCAACCCTAAGGTTAAATGACACATTCTCTCATTTGTCCTAAGTCAGTTCTAGTGTCACTACCATCTTGGCAATGAATATTGCAGCGGCAGATCACTGAAAGCAGATTACTGTTCAGCTTATATACAAGCTTCACGAGGACTGAACAGGTTTATGAACCATAGCAAGACCTCTGACATGGTAGAAACATCAAGAGAGGAATGAAAAGCTGTGACACAGCTTTCATCTTTACTTAAATTCCTGAAACACCATAGCAGAGCAAGGGAACAGTAAAAAACTAGTGTGGGAGCTGTTTAGCTCAAGACCCAGCACCATGTTGTAATCTTTCTTCCTCTCTGCCAGTCTCTGGTGTCTCAGAAGTTGAACCCTGCAAATTGAGATCAAAAGTGGGATCTAAGAATGACCTTCTCGTAGACATGTTCCAAATAGCAGGTATACATCTCTCTAGCTGGACCACAATAGCCCATTGCTTAACAAGGCTTAGGGGCAAGGCGAGGAGAGAAGCAATCTTACACCAAGTGGCCGGCACAGTATTACCTAGCTAGGTCTAGAGTGGTCACAGCTGCATTGCTTGTTGTTTTTTGGTTTTATTTTTTATTTTAAGAATGGATTTATTTCCGCTCAGCCCCTGTCGCAGAGGACTGTGCTGTTCAAATTGAGTTATTGCCTTTGAGTTTTGACTGCAGAGGAGAGGTTTACAGAACAGAAGTCCTTTCTTATGATGAATGCCATGTTGACCTGTAAAACTACAAAACCAAAAAAATCTATTCCTTACTTGTATCTAGCTTGTAAGTCAACCCTAACTTTTTGTCTTTATAACAACTTGAACAAATGTGGTTTATCTGAAGAAACTGTCTACTGATTCATTTAGCTTTCCAGGGACCTTTTCTTTCCATGCAGCTCTATCACAGCATGGTGAGGATGTTGATGGGTAAAAGCAAGCCATAAACGGGTGTGTCCTAGTGCAATTGGAGAAGCCACACTGAGCACCCATTAATATTGATAACACTGAGTCTCTCCAATGGCTTGAAAGCACACAGTGAATTTGCATCTAACAATATTACTTCCTTCTGTGGTGGACTTGAACAAAGGGACTGCAAGCTTAACCACCGCATACAGGAGCTGAGAGGTGCCTTGTTCCAGAGAGATATTTTTGTGTTAAGATGAGGCCCAGAAAAAGGGACAGTGTCTCTACAATGTGTCAGGGTGTGGAAGGTAGCATCAACAAACTTGCCACTCATGATTAGACCAGGTCTTCAGGATAAGCTGCCTTCTAATCGCTCATCTCCAGATCCTCCATACCACAGCAAGACACCAGGACTGAAGTTATTACCTTTGTTGGGGTTTAACCCCAGCTGGCAGCTCAGCCCCATGCAGCCACTCACTCACTGCCCCCCCCACCCCCAGTGCGCTGGGGGAGAGAATCAGAAGAGGAAAGTGAGAAAACTCGTGGGTTGAGATGAAAACAGTTTAATAGGTAAAGCAAAAGCTGCACACGCGAGCAAAGCAAACCAAGGAATGCATTCCCCACTTCCCATCGCAGGCAGATGTTTGGTCATCTCGAGGACAGCAGGGCTCCATCACGTGTAACGGTGATTTGGGAAGACAAATGACATCACTCTGAACATCCCCCCCTTCCTCCTCCTTCCCTCAGCTTTATGTGCTGAGCATGACATCATATGGTATGGGATATCCCTTTGGTCATTGGGGTCAGCTGTCCCGGCTGTGTCCCCTCCAACTCCTTGTGCACCCCCAGCTACTCGCTGGTGGGGTGGGGTGAGGAGCAGGAAAGCCCTTGGCTCTGTGCAAGCCCTGCAGGAACAAAAACATCCCTCTGTTATCAACCCTGTTTGCAGCACAAATCCAAAGCATAGTCCTGTGTTAGCTACTACGAAGAAAATGAAGTCCATCCCAGCCAAAACCAGGACACTTTCCTTACAGTGATTTGGGGAAAATGTATCAATCTCAGCCCAAACAAGACTTGTAATTGCAGTGAAATGGAGAGTTATGGACAAAGGAACTGTTTCTGTCCCCAGGTCTTTCTACCTGAAGAGTGGAATAGGTCCTAGTTTGATCCCTTTCTTTATGGCTCACCTATATGACTTGCATAGCAGCAGTTAGTGTATCTAGGCCGTGGAAAGCAGTGCATGCTTAGGAACTGAGAAAGACTCCATGATGTAATGCATGCAGACAGCGTGCAAGTTGCTACTAGTTCAGTGTGTTGTATGTCATGGAAGGGTGTTTCATGATGACGTGCAAAAAGATGCCAAACAGGCTGACACAGAGTGCAGTGTGGATATAATGGATATTTGTCTGCATTGTAATTTAATCCAGCTGGCTCAGTAAACTTAATTCTGAAACCAGCTGCAAAAAGCAAAACCAATAGAACTTTAACATAAACTTTTTTTATTGAACTTGGTAAAGCATTTCTGAACGTATATCACATCTGAAATCAGAAAGTTGCTGCTGGAAATCATATTTTATACAGATTGCTATTCATTTTTGAGATGAGGAAGATGAAAGATTGAACAAGACTCATAATGAGGAAGAATACCAGGAATGAAGTAGAACAAAGTCCTGTTGCTACCACAGGACTGACAACATCACCCTAAGACAGAGGAGGAGTGGCAAATAAAACCCCCAAACTTCAGCATACTGATTTTGTTATTATTCAACTCTTAAAAAAAAAAAAAAAAAAAGCTAAAAAAGATTATTCATGTGGCTCATCAACCTGTAGTCTTAATTGAAATAATTCTCAGCAGTCTAAATTTTAGTCAACATCTCAGATTACAAATCTGAATATTTTTTTTCTGATCAATTTTTTCCCATTTCAAATAAGAAAATTCTTGAAAAAAATCTATCCTGAAATGTGTTTTTGCAGCAGATCAATGGGACAGCTAAGATTAATAAGGGTTGCAGGAGTGAACAGTGAAGAAGTTGTACAACTGTACAATTACGCATTTCTTTGTAGGAAATCAATTACTTGGGTTCTTCTTGATCATTCAGGTTAAAGGAATAATAGACACAAGAAGACAGTAGGACCTTTTAATGATTAATAGTAGCTTTTGAGTATATTTTTGGCACTGTAAAACTAGCTGTTAGTTTCTAATTACTTTGAAGGGTGAAAGACAGGGAAATACTTTTCTGTCTTTATCAAACTGCATCAGAGAGAAGAGCACAAAAGTGTACCTTTTCTCAAAGATTCACTTCATTACTCCCATTTTCTGTTATTCCTCTGTTATTTTTTTTTCCCCATTTCTCTGGCCAGTCACCACACATTCAGTCTTTGGCAGACGTGTAAGTTCCCAGATTGCTGTGTTCACGTGGGAGACGTGGGCATATCGGAGTGTCAATATGCCTTAGTGTAACATTTGTGTGCAACTGGCTTTTAATAAACCACTTGTTTCTTCCCATCGCTCTGCATATGTACAACACCTGATTCCTGGCATCCAAGACCTGTTGACTACTTTTATTATTCATAGACTTCACTTCATTTGCATAAATGAATACTTCTGCAGAATGTGTCTTACCCCCTTAATAATACAGGAGGAAGGGATAAGGGTTAATGGTGCTTTGCAGTCTCTCTGGGATTTGGGAAAAC